AAGGGCAGGGCACCCTGACCCCACTCTACAAACGAGGACACAGGCTTGGGTCAGACGAGCAACTGCCTCCCCTGTGGTCGCCGCCCCCCACCCACCCACCCCATCTTCACCGCAGTCACTTCCATCTCGTGCCGACGCCCCAGGGAAGACGCGGCAGCCTCCTGCCCAGAACACTGCCAAAGTGCCAATGCCCCGCCTGACTCCTAACCACATGACCTCCACTCTTCCCGAGCTTCAGACTCGGGGTCCAGGAGCCCCCTGTCTCCATGCAGAGGACCGTGGGCATCACGCGGCTATGCTGCACCCAGCCACCCCTGTAGTGACCAGAGGCGCCTGTGGGCACCCGCGCCAGGTCCCCCTCTGCCACAGCCCTGCAGGCCCCCACCTCCCTGCAGCCCCATGCCCTGTGCCACCTGCCGCTGCCCCTCCTCACTCTGCTCCCCCAGCATGCCAGGCCTGGCCCTGCCCCAGGGCCTTTGCTCAGATGTGCCCTCGGTCCGGACGCCCTCCCATCCCTGCGACGCACAGCCCCTCACCGGCCCCCGACACCCGTCTCGCCCCTTCTCGGCTCCACTCATCTGCCCGGGTCCCGTTACGCGTCTCCGTTCGTTGTTCACCTCTGCATAACCGCGCACACACACGCGGGACCTCACCCGCCTCATTCCGGCTGCTCCCTAGGGCCTGGCGGGAGCGTGGCTGTGTGTGCACTTCGTACACAAGTGCCCGAGCTGCACCGCGCTTCCCCAGACCTTCAAGGCCACCCCACGCCTCCAGAATAAGGGCCATGAACATGTGCGTGTGGGAGACAGAGCAGCAAGCTGCTGTGACAAAATGCTGGGGTCCCTTTCTCCAGCCAAAGCCAGAGGCCAGATCCCCAAACAGCTCCCACTGGCCCAGGCCTCTTGGGCTGAACCCCTGCCCTCCAGGGTGGCCCGGGGGCACAGTGGGGGGGCCGACTAATCCCCGAGGTCAGTAATCCCCGCATGTGGGCAGCCTGCCCTCGGCCCCACTGTCCAGTGAGCACAGCCAACAAATCCCAGTGGGATTTTCACCTGTCTTGTCACTGTGCAGACTGTGGGAGCAGGAAGACCTGGGGGCTGAGACCCCCTGGGGCCCGGGCCCCTCCGTAAACGTATGGTCTCATTCAGGGGTTGGCAACCATTTTCCATAAAGGACCAGACAGTGAATGTGTCCAAGTTCCTGGGCCACAAGGTCTCTGCCCCTGATACTCGGCTCTGCCGCTGGAGCAGGAACGGCACCGTGGACAGGAGAGTGAACTGGCAGGGCCAGTAAAACTTTATTGACAGAAATAGGCAGTGGACCAGATTTGGCCTGGGACCAGTCCGCTGACCCCTGGTCTGGTCTGTTTACCTGTTCGCCACCGCATCCTGACCCCCCCTGAATCTGAGAGGCCCATGAGAGCGGGTAAGGAGTCCCCCCAGGTCACTTAGTGACCCACACACCCAGAACCCCACCTGCCCGGGGCCGGTGCTGACAGTCGTGTAAGGAGCATGTCCTAGGCCTAGACAGGAGGCAGCTACAGGGCCTGACGCCCACGGCAGAATGCAGCGTGTGTCTGGGTCTGCAGAGGCAGCTACAGTGTGGAACGCCCGAGCTCCTACGTGGACCCCACACCCACATGCCATCGGCGCCGCTCTAAGGGTCCACACCGCAGCCCCACCTGCAGCCATCATGCCCATTTCAGGTACAGGCACAGAGGCGGGGTGCCCAGCTGGGAGGGGATGCATCTGGGATCCGGCCGCCAGGGGTCAAAGTGCCCGATGTTGCATCGGGAGGACGCAGACAGGGCAGAGTTCCAACTGGGAGCTCTCTGCAGCCAGGACCACGGCTGGCATGACGAGGGGATGAGGGCGTTTCAGCTCCCCCATTACCATTCACAGCCACAGAGGCCTACAGAGACACCCGGCCCCTGTTCTCCGAGCACGCCGGGTGGAGGCTGTGCGTCCTCCTGCCCCTCCTCCAGGCTTCCCTAGATAACAGGGGAGGTCACTGAGGAGGCCATATGTGAGCAAAACCCGAAAGAGCTAAGGAAGCAAAGGACACAGATATTGAGTCTGAGCATTCCATGAGAGGCACAGACGTGCAAAGGCCCTGGGACAACACTGGGCTGGCACGTGGGAGGAGCAGCCAGGAGGCCTGTGGGGCTGGAGCAGAGTAAGTGAGGAGGGAGAGGGAGGAGAGAGGACAGGAAGGGGTCAGGCCGGTCCTGCAGGGCTGGTGGGCTGTGGGGATGACCTGGGCTTTGGCCCCGGGGAGGTGGGAGCCCTGGAGGGCTGTGGGGAGAGGCCTGAGTCAGGCCTTCTGAATGGGAGCCTTCTGGGATGAGCTGTAGAGAGCACAGGAAGAGAGGGGGACCAGGCCAGGTGGAGCAGAGGAGGGGGAGAGGTGGGTGGATTCCGGGTCCACTCTAAAGGCAGAGCCAACATAATTTGTCACCAGCTTACACGTGGGAGGGGGGCCGGGGATTCAGAGTGAAGCCGACTGTTCCGAGATACCCGGGAAGCAGGAAGGATGGGAGAGAAGCAGCTTGGAAACACCAGACCACAGCTCAGGCCTCCACAGCGGGCCCCATGAGCACGTCCCAGCCCCCAGCCCTCCCAAGATCCAGTCCCCAGGAGCTGGAGAACCCGGCAGGCCTTTTCTGGACCAGGCCCTGTGATCAAGGGGCCAAGGCGTTTAAAGAAACCACGTTCTAACACCAACATGATACCACTTCACCTCCCATCAGATTGGCCAAAATTACCCTGGCTGATAGCATTTGGGCTGGCAGCACGATGGGGAGACAGTTTCTCGGTCCAATCAGACGTTTCTCGAAAGCCATCAGGCATCATATAGTCACTTTCTGCCCCTGACGCGGCCATCTGGAGGCAGGACTGCCGTTGCTCTAAGTCCGAGAAGCCCCCCGGGGCCTGGCAAGTAACAGCAAAATGTGGTCCTAGCATCCCAGGCAGCAGCAGCTCAGGCCTACAGTGGCTGACCCCCCACATCCCAACATGCCCCTGCCAGACACGGGCACCGCCCACTTTACAGACCGGGACACTGAGGCTCAGAGAGGCCACAGTGGCTACGCTTCAAGGTCACACAGCAGGGGGATGGAACCCAGCAGGATGAGCAGGGTTTTCACCCTCTTAACCACGGCTCTAAAAAAAATAGCTGATTCTGATGTGGGAGAGAGAATCCAGATTACTTAGGATAAAAAGCAAGCAGGTCGCAGAATAGGGACAGTTCAGTGGCTCTCACCTGGGGCGACTATAGCTCCAGGGGACTCTGGTGATGCATGGCGACCTTTGTGGTCATCACAACTGGGGCAGGGAGTTCCAGCTCCAACGAAAATAGAGTCAGGGTGACGGAGCAGGGGAGAGACCCCCACCAGTCCGCCCCGTGTGGCCCCGTGACAGCTCAGGAGGGCAGGCCCAGCCACAGCAGGGGCCCGCCACGTCACCTGCCCCGCCCTGTCGGCTCACTGGGCCCCCCGGCTAAGCAAGTGTGTGCTGAACGGCTATCCTGTGCCCACTGATCCTTGGGCCCTTTGGCCTGTGACCAGCCCAGGCCAGAGGGCTGACGGTGGAATTTAGGGGTCTGAGAAAAGACCTCAGCCGGGCCTCTCAACAGAACCTGCTGCTGGCCAGGCCAGGGCACAGGGCCGGCCAAGAACGAGGGCAAGGAGACTGGATGGAGGCAGTGAACCAGGTCACCCACCAAGCGGTTCCAGATGGCAGCGGGGAAGAGAGCTCTGGCTCAGGCTCTGTGCTGGCATGCGCGTGCGCGCGCTCTCTTCATTTCTCCCAAATCCCCGGCAGCACGGCACATCCCTTCCTGCCAAGGAGGCTTCAGAAGGGCCAGGGCCAGAGGAGGATGGATGCCCCTGTGGGTGTCTACAGGGACCCCGCAGGCAAGGGACCCCCGGGGGAAGCAGAGAATTGCAGAAACTGCCATCTGGGAGCTTGCAACCTCTACAGAGAGGGAGCGGTTCCTGCCGGCAGTGGCTCAGCGCTGCAGCTGCCCCAGGGAAAGGCCGGCCACAGCCCACAGGGCTGGGCGAGGTCCCCCCACTCTCCACACCTGCTCTGCTGGGAGCAGAGCCAGCGTCCAGCGAGAAGGCTTCTGGGGCCTCCTCCACACCTGCTTACAACCCTGGCACTGCAGGCAGCCCCAGATGCCATGCCCTTAGCCCCCTCCTGTTATAGGGCGGTAAACTGAGGCCCAGAGAGGCAAGAGATGGTCAGTGCACTGGAAACCAGGTCCGGTGACTTCCACAAAGAGATGAGATCGTCGGTAGGAGGCTGACCCATTCGGCCTCAAAGACCCCGATCCTCCCTCCCCGACTAGTAAGATGTGCCCATAGGGGTGACAGCTTATGGAGGGGAGGCGTGAGGCCCGGAAGCCGGTACCCCCGGGGTGGGCGGCCTAGAGGAGAGGTCCAGGCACGGGGCACATCTAGGGCAGTGTCACCCCCTGCCAGGCCCCGCCTAGGAGGCAGAGCCTCTCCTAGGAACAGGGGTTCTCCACCATCCCACGCCCGCGAACAGCCACTCGCCAAGCCTAGGGAAGCTGTCACCCCCGAGCGTCCCCAAGAGGAGGTCCTAAGTGGGGGTTTCACCCCCACACACACCCGCGAACAGGAGGATCCGTCCTGCCCGCCTGCCTCCAAAGGTAGATGCTCCACCCACAGCCGCCCATAACGGGGCCCTGCGCCTCCCGCCTCCGGACCGCAGCCGCCCAGAAGCCCCCAGGCAGGCGATCCATCCTCCCGGGCCCGGCGGGGGGCGCTCCGGCCCCTCCCAGAACCCCCAGGCGGGCGCCCCATTCCCCCTCCCCCGGCCCCGGCGTGGCGCGCCCCGTCCCCCCCGCGGACGCCCCCGAGTGGAACGCTCCTGCCCGCGCGGCGGGTCCCGAGGCCCCTCCGGCGCTCGGGCGGCCCGCGGTGGGGGGGGTCAGGCGGGCCCATTCGGGGAGCGGGGGAAGACCGGAACCGTTACCTGCCGCCTCCCCGCTCTCCTCGGCACAGGCCGCCTCCACGGTCCCGGCACCTGCCTCGGCGCTCTCCGCCTCGTCCGGCACCTCCAGCTCCATGGTTGCGGGGACCGGCCGGTAGGCTGGCGGGCTGGCGGCCCGAGGTTGCAAGCTAGGCTGCGGCCGCCGCCGCCGAACAACAACCGCCGGCGGCCAGAGGGCGGGGCAGTGGGCGGGTTCGGCGCCTTCGCGCACCGCACGCACCGCCAATCGGAGACCGGGGGCGGGGCCTGCGTGTGCCCCAGCCGGGAGCGCCTCGAGCGCCGCCACGCGTCCGAGGGTGGAAGGGCAGCGTCAGTGCCGGTCCTGGGAACTATCTCTGTACTAACGTTATGCGTGATAACCACAAATAATACTACAATTAGCAAACTACGTACCATCGTGTTACAATAACACCTACACTAGTGTTACATATTTCAGTATAAATAATAATTTCAATATAATAATACATAGGCTTATTTTTTATTGTGCACAATATATCCATCATACATAATAATATGATAGACAATGTCATTGTTAAACAAAAATTAATATGGCATTATTACAGCATACACTATATTAACATGTAACCTACAAATATTATATAGTATATATATCATGTACACTATAATAATAAGACAAGTAATAATCATATTATGAATAACATAACATCTAAAAGACAATAAATATTTGATATATTGATCAACCAGATGGGAACAATTATCATCCCCATTTTACAAACCAGAAAACAGGAGCTCAGAGAGCTGAAGCCATTTTCTGGGAATCACAAAGATCCATGCAGTGAATCAGTGATCTATGTATCATACTAAGAACAATTGTATTAATAGTGTCATTAAAGTCTGATGGTACATTTATTAATGATATGGCTAGGTGGTTATTAATTCTGAGGTCATGATTTGGGGAGTAATAAATGTTGTGCTTGGTAACATTATTTATTACTAATTATTTCTGCTTGGGGGCAAGTGCAGGAATCTGGGCACCCAGCTACTGAAGGGCTGGGATGTTTTCACCCAGGCCTGTCTGACTCAAGACATGTGGCCCCTCCTCACTGTCTGGGGTGCTGGTGAAGTCGGTGGGAAGCTGTCAAGATTGGGCTTTGGGGTGCTGGGATGATGGGGAATTAGGAAGATGGAGTGGGTCACACTCAGACCCAGGGATCAGAAAGATGCTTCAGAAATGCTCCCCTTCAAAACAAGGAGACAGTTAAGAAAGGAAAGAGATGGAGAATAAGACAGAGAATCGGGGTGAAGGGAGCCCCCAGGTGAGGCATGCTCTGTCACAAGAGCCAAGCCAGAGTAGAGAAGTAGAAGGGCTCCGGGGAGCTGATGGGTGCATGGATGAATACGGTGTGGTGCATCCGCACCCTGGAACAGTACTCAGCCTTAACAAGGAAGGACACCTGCTGCAGCGTGGATGGACCTCGAGGGCAGGGTGCTCAGTGACACAAGCCAGACACAAAAAGACAGATCCTGTCTGAATCCACTCCTCGGAGGTCCCCAGAGGAGCCCCATCCACAGAGACAGAAAGTGGGTGGTGGGGCCGGGGGCTGGGGGTTAATGTTTCAGGGTGACAGAGCTTCAGTTTGGAAGATGGGGAGTTCTGGAGATTGGGGGGTGGGGACGGCTGCACAGCATGTGAATGTGTTTCGTGCTGCTGAGCTGTGTACCCAAAATGGCTAGTACGGTAAATGTTATGTTATGTCTATTTTACCACACTTTAAAACAAACAAAGGCTCCAGGAAGAGGTTTTGGATACATACCATGGACAGAACCCCTGAATCATCCTGACTCTGTCTTAAGGGAAGATTTAGACCCGTGGTCCACAAAGCGTGGTCCCTGGAACAGCAGCAACATTATCCAGGGGCTTGTTAGAAATGCAGGTTCTCGGGCCCCCGCAGCCCTCCTGCCTCAGCAGGTGGCGACTTCAGCTTCCGGCCTCCATGAGACCCCAGGGCCGTTCGGATGCCTGAGTTCGAAACCACCGGCTCAGACAACCCAGGAAGGGCTGGGAATTGGATCCGTGACACGGATGGTGAAAACGAAGCAAATTAAAAAAACAGACTTCTGGCTTGATGCTGAATTTGTCCTGGCGGGAAGTCAGTACTAAACGGAAAAATCAAACGTGGCAAAACAGGCGTGACGTAGAGGCGCAGAAGTGAATGTCTGCACAACCAGTTCAAAGAAGCGGGAGAGGGGGCGACTCTCGGAAGGGAGAAACGGTGGGGTAGCAACGGCGTCTGCTCGTTTTCACGAACCCTGATGAGAATTCCTTCTCAAGTGCACGCACGTAAAAAAAAAAAAAAAATCCCCGAGTTATTGCAGGGGTGGGGGCTGAAGAGGACAGTCGGGGAAAGGAGAGGTGGGGCCAGGGGCCTGGTGGCGCGGTGGTTCTGCTCCTCTGGTTCCGCTCTTCCTACATCCCTGCTCCCAGTCTGTTCCCAGTTTGCAGAGTGGGAAACTGAGGCTGCCCGGCTGGGTCCGGTTGCCTGGTTTCTGGCGCCCCCTGGTGCCTATAGCGGCTACTACCTCCAGCCCTGGGTAGTCTGCAGGTAAGAGGGACTTAACGCATCCTCCATCCATCCATTCATTCAGGCCACAGGGACACGGGGATGACCGAAGCAAAACTCTCAATGAGGTGACATTCTAGAGGGGACAAACACACAAAGACCCAAGGTAGTTCCAGCTGCTAATAAATACTTGGAAAATAGTCCAGATGTGGACCAGCGTGACAGAAGGTGCTCCACAAAGACGCTCAACAGAGAATGTGTCAGTATGTATTGCGTGCCTCCTCCAGCACGGCCTGATACAACTATCAAACAAGCCAATTAAAACTTAAAATTCCAAACGTCATTTAAAATTTCCTAGTAATCACATTTTCAAATGTAAAAAAAATACACACACAATGTTTTCCCCAGTGGCTTCCCCAGAGCCACCCCACTGGGCAGTGGTTGAGGATTGTCGACAGGATTCGGGCTGGTCAGTCATGTAGTGGCATGGAGGCCGCATCTGCGCTCAGATCTGGAAGGTGGGAAGGAGCCAGCTCTGCCACAACTACCGGGCAGGTGGCGTGCCTGGTGGAAGACGCAGCAAGCGCAAAAACTCGGCCAGCCCGGATGCAAGGCAGGCGGTGGGGTGGATGGGGAGGGGGAGCCAGGAGGCATTCCATCCATTCAGTCCTTAATTTACTCCCCAAACGCTCCCGAGGACCTGCTTGAACGTCCTATGCGCACGGCGTCCCTGGCTTCCGGGAGAGCAGGGGTTAAGGCCAGCTGCTCCCACGTGAGGACACCTTACGACAGAGCCACACACCCAACCAGCCTCCTGCCTGGCCTCTCTCAACACTCTCCATTCGGCCCTGCAAGTTTGTCCGCTGCGCCACCGGGCCAGGGACCTGCCAGCCTGTCGCCACCACAGGGGAGGAAAACAGGTGGGGAGGCCAGAGCTCAAACCTCAGGTCCCTCCCCAGCCCCGCATGCCAGGCAGGCGCCAGGGCCCCCCGCTCCTGCAGCCTGCCCAGAAGCCACCCAGCCTCCTCAACAGGTAAGTCCCCACCCTGCTGTGCCAGGACTGGGCTCTCCACCACAGAGTCCTGGGACCCCCAGTCACCTGTCTGCTCCCTGGAAACCAGGAAACTGCCGCTCCTGTGTGGGCATTTGACATAATTCCTAAGGGATTATCTCACTGGCAGTTACTGCCTCTGGCAGCCTGCCCAGGACGCCAGAGCCAGAGTCTTAAAAGGGTCACTGTTGGCCCAGGTGGTGCCAGGGGGCTGGAGGGTTACAGACTGGTCTCTGAACCTCCCAACTGCAAAGGGGAGGCCCAGGAAGGCAGGAGGCAGGAGGCAGCCTGGCGCCCGGTCAGTGTCTGGGCCTCTGGGAGCTTATTGGAGGTTTTCAGAGGCCGCTTCCGCCTTCTCCCTGCTGCCAGGCATGCAGAGGTGGGTGACAGGTCCGGGGTGGGCCTATCCCGCTTACCTTGATTTCTTCTCTAGTCCAAATCCCCCAGTGGAGAAATGCAGGAAGGTGGAGGGTAGACAGACGGTTGTCACAACAGGCCCCAGCAGCCCAGAACCCACACAGAACAGGGGCTGGGTGGCAAGAGTTTTTTCTGGGTCATTTGTTCTCAGAAGTGCAGGACAAAGAGTGCTTCCCAGGCAGCCAAGTGTCCAATTGCATCTCAAGTCTCTTTGTGTAGGACAGAGAGGACTCCCTGGGGCCAAGGAGAAATGGGCGTCTGACTCTCAGGTACAGAGCCAGCCTGGCACCTGGGGTCCCTCCTGGGGAACAGAGAGGCTTGAGATCTGGGGTCTGTGGGTTAGAAGAAGGGGATGTGTCTCAGCTGTCAGATCCCACCCTGCCTGGGGTTTGGAAAGAAAACCCACAGAGTGAAATCCATCCCGCCCCCAGCGACCTCACCTACCTGGACCTCCGCTTTCCACTCTGCAAAATGGGTACAGTAAGAGTCACTGAGTCGTAGGGCTGCTGAGAGCAGCAAAGGATAGGCTGGGTAACAGACTCTCGGGCACACAGTGGGTCTGGGAAAGCTGTCCCGCCCAAATCCAGAGCTCAGAATGTATGGCCGCTCTCAATGTCCCGTCTGCCGTCCTGTCTGATGAAGGTTGAACTCGGGCTCAGAGAGGAGCAGCCACTTGCCCAGGGATGCACAGCAAAGCAGGGCTGTCAGGCGTATAGGAGAGCGGGAGGGTCTGGGGACTGCCCCCACCCCCCAGCCAACGCCCCAGGCTCAGCATCTCGTAAAAGTCCTGCCTCCCTTCCGCGTGGCCCTGAGTTCTGGGGAAAGTCCACAGCGGGGAGTTCGGGTTCCTGTTCCTCCTGGGCCTGGCCTGGCGCCAGGGGAGCAGTGTTTGCTCAGGTGGGGCCTGACAGCCTTTGGAATGGGCTGAGGTTAGCCAGAGACACGGGAGGAAGGGCTGCCCGGGCAGTGAGCCTGCATTCATCAAGCGCCTACTATGTTCCCAGCGCTGCTGCAGGCCTTGGGGACTCACCAGGCAACGAAACAGACAGAGGTCCCTGCTCCTGTGGGGCTTGTATGTCGGTGGAAGACAGACAAGACACAAGAGCCGTAGTGAGGGAGGAAATTGTATCCTAAAAGGGTATCCTGGGTTAGAGGGTGTGTGCTCTTAGGAAGAAAAAAATGGAAGAGCTACCAAAACAGAAGGTATTTTTTAACCTTAGACAAGGCGAGGGCTTACTGAGAATGTGACATTTGAGCAGACTTGAAGGAAGTGAGTACTCCAGGCAGAGGGGCACGGAGCATGCAAAGGCCCTGAGGCAGCACGGGACCTGGCCGGTAGGAGGAGCAATGAGGAGGCCCTTGTGGCTGGAGCAGAGTGGGTGACAGGGAGAGAGGGACAAGGGGAGGGGAGGGAGGGGGCCGGGCAGGTCATGCAGGGCCTTGTGGGCAGCTGGGAGGACTTGGGCTTTGACCCCTAAGGAGGTGGGAACCTGGAGGGCTGTGGGCAGAGGGGGACCTGACTCAAGTGCTCGCTGGCGCCCTCTGGTGGCCACTGAGGGGAGGACAGACTGGGGAACCGAGGGAGGAGACTGGGCTTGTCTAGGCAGGTGAGGACGGTGGTCCAGGTGGGGGCGGAGGAGGAGGGATAGCAGGCCGATTCTGGAAAGATCTCAGTAGAACCAACAGCATTTGCTGATGTAGGACGGGCAGACTGGGTTCCAGGGTGATCAGGAAGAAACATGATCAGAATGTTCTGGGGCTTGAAGACTAGAATAGGTGAGAGAGAGACAGGTAGGTGGAAATCTCCTGACCCGGGAGCCTTGACTGCCAAGCGAGGTCTTCTAGTGCTACGGTGTTAAAGGATAATCTTTTCCCCAAAAGGGTACAATTTTGATTCTCACACTAATATAACACAAGCAGGTGCTTTATGAGTACTTAACTCATGAATTAATGTGGGGAACGGTAGGATTTTACAGCCTGTTCAAGGGAGAAGTTAAAGAACACGAGCACACATACAGAGGCATCAGGAATGTTGAAATGAATTTACAAATAGATGCAAAGGTGGCCAATAGCCATAGGGCAATAATCGATGGTCTCAAAGGACAAAATTCATTCGTTCTAAATTCTACGGACAAGAATTGTTGCAGCGCCACCGGGTTCCTATAATCTACAGGATGGTAAAAGGGGATAAGAAGCCCTGATAATTTAGGAGATTGCCCCAGAGGCTGGAATTGATCAGGTGCCTGATAAATCTGCTAGGGAGCTATTGAATGCTCTTGAGCTAAAGCCACACTTTATTAACTGCACAGCCACTGGTGGGAGTATTTTTTGGACGTCTGCTCCACGCTGCGAGGCTTATCACTGTGGTATCCTGAGTGTCTAGTACAGTGCCTGGTATGCAGTAAGCGCTCAATAAATGAATGAATAGCTCATGGGAAGCACGTGGATTCTGAACAGAGTAGAAATAACAGTGCTGTTATGCTGGAATGACAGATTGTGGGTGCAGTGGCCCCAGCCACGAAGCAGGTTAGGATTGGCAACAGAGCCGTTGGCAGGGCCTTTGATGGGTGGTGTTTGGGGAGCTGGCCTGGGATACAGTTGTGGAGGACAGACCGAGGCCAGGGACTGTAGGAAAGGTGTCAGGGGTCTGGGTCCGGACCCCCCCGCTGTTGCACACAACGACAGAGCCTTGATGCACCCCCTCCAGCTCTGGGGACACCGATTCCTCTTCATTTTTTCTCCACTGGGGGCTTGTCTTCGTCCTTTGGCCCAGAGTGGAAAGACAAAGGGCCCCCTAGCAAACCTTTCTGTGCACCTGCTACGCCCCAACTTCTGAACCTTCCCAACCGCACTGCCTCAACGTCAGAACCAGGTCCCCGTCACACAGACGAGGACACTGAGGCAGGAAGTAGCGAGGACCAGCTCTTCTAAAGCTCCCACCTGGGGCGTGGGGGGAACACCCTCACCAGCCCCTCCAGCTATGGTCTGCACATCCCCCTCACCTTCCCTGCCCTCCTACATCAAAGCGCCCTCACCGGGGCAGCCCAGGGACCCCGTCGCCAATCCTGGGCCGTCGCCAATCCTGGGGCATTCCTCTGTCCTCACACGCTTGCCCTGGCGGCCGCTGCACCCGGAATCTGCCCTTCCTCCCACCCCAGCGCCCTCCTCTCCCCGTGCTGGTGCCGCTGCTACCGTACCCTCTGTCCTCAAACGCAGAGCCCCAGGCCCGTGCTGGCCAAGACGTCAGGCGCACCTCCAAGGAGGCGTATTCCACAAAATCCCGGACCCGCCTCCTCCGGCCCATGAAGGTGGTGGACCACGGGAAGCAGGAGAGAGCTATGCGCGCTGAACGCGCGGTGGGACCCGGGTGGGAGACCTGGGTGGGGTCCCGGGGCAGGAAAGGGACCTTAGTGAAATCTGAATCGTCCGCAGTTTAGTGAGTGGCGATGAGTAGGCGCTTTCCTGGTTTGTGTGGTCATGGAAATGTGAATGTGGAAGGAACCGGGTGTGAAGCACCATGGGAACTCTGACTTACAGCTCGGCTTTTCGGTCATCTTAAAATGACTCTGAAATAAGATGTTTATTTAAAAAAAAAAAGAAAAAAGGCAACAACCTGCAGGGCCCCCAAGGTTCGACAGTCCCGGGCCCAGCTCCTTCCTCTCCCGCAGAGGTTTGCCCTCCCACCCCAGCTGCCACCAGAGGGCGCGCGAGCACCTGAGTCAGTTACCCGCTCTGCCCACAGCCCTCGAGGGCTCCCACCTCCCTAGGGGCCAAAGCCCAAGTCCTCCCAGCAGTCCCTGAGGCCCTGCATGACCTGCCTGTCTCCTCCCTGCCCTTCCCTCCCCCCACTCCCCCTTACTTGCTCTGCTCCAACTACAGGGACGTTCTCACTGTTCCTCCCACAGGCCCAGCCTGGTGCTGCCCCAGGGCCTTTGCACCGGCTGGCCAGTCCACCCAGAACACCCAGATCTCCCCTCTCCCTCAGCTCCTTCAGATCTAATTGTTCCCTCTGTCCGGATCTCTCTCACCTAGGCCAGTCCTACTAAACTCAGTTCTCATCTTTGGGGCCACTCCACAGGGAACCCCTCCTTGAGCCCCCAGTCAGGTTGCGCTCTGTACAGACAATCTCAGAAGTCTAGGTTGCATTTTTTATATACGTTAAGTGATGATTCAGTTATGGTCTGGTTCCCCTGAGGACCCTGGGCTTCCATCAGGGCAAGGACTGGGCCTCTCATGGGTCCTGTGTGTACACAGTGGGCGCTCTGTAAATGCTGACGACTGAGGCACAGCCCCGCCTCTGACGTGGCAGAGCTGCTTCGGTCGGACGTTAGACCAGGTATGACCTCAGCCTCCTGCAGCCCAGCAAAACAGCCCCCACCAGGCAGACCCCTGGCCCCCTGCGTGGACCCCACTGGCTCCCTCCTGACTCTGGGGGACCTCAGCCTAGGTCCCCGTCTCCCCCCAACCCCCACCCCCCAGGCCTCAGTGCCCCGGGAGGCACTCAGAAGGGGCCGAGCAGGGTTATCTCCAGGCCCTGCCTTCCCCTGCAACCTCTCTTCCCTCGCCCCCTCACGCTGAGCCACACTGTCCGCTCCTGGTTGAAGTTGGTACTGCCATTTCCAGTGCCGAGCCAGTGCCTATCATTAATGTACTTGGCCGCTTGTAGGGGCTTAGAGCATTTTTGCTTAGTTAATGATGGGGTGGATGGAAAAATGAATGCTTAAGTGAATCAGATTGAATAAAAACAGATTTTTAACTCCTAAAAGTGATCTGGAGGTCTGGGGTAGGAGGAATGGTGGGCTCAAGGCCAGCTCCTGAGGCCTGACCATGCCCTTCTCCGAAGCCCTGCATTTAAGCACAGAGTCGTCCCCTGGGTACTGGGGAGCCACTGAATGTTCTTGAGCAGGGCGTGAATATGTGAGGGCAGTGCTGTGTGGCTGCAGGAAGACTGTGTGTCCTGGGACAGCTGCCCCCTTCACGGGGTTGAGAATGGGCTTTCTCCACCTCAGTGCTATGGACCTTTGGGGCTGACCATCCTCTGCGGGGCCACCCTGGGCACTATGGGGTGTTGAGCAGTGTTCCTGGTTTCTAGCCCCTCAATGTCAGGAGCACCTCCCCATTTTGACAACTAAAAATGTTTCCAGACATTGCCAAGTGTCCTCCAGGGACACATCACTATAACAAGAAACACCCGTGGAGAGTGGGGGTGAGGGGGTCAATCAGAACCAAGTCCAGCTCCTGCTGTCCGGGCTGGCCACTTGACCCAGCTGGCTTCCGTTTTCCCAGCTGTGCAATGGGCACAGGAATGTCATGTGTAACAGTGGCTAGAGTGAAACAAGTGCTCAATAAACATGAGCCGGGCGCCTCACTACCACCACGCAACCCATTTATTCTGTTGATAATGCTGATGAGTCCAGCGGGAATCAGGACGTGCCCCCGGCTTTAACCAGACCCATCAGTTATATTCCCAAGTAATCATAGCTACAAACACCTATACGCATGTGCCGGTGGGGAACTTTATGTTTTCCCTATGACTCATTAAAACAAACACACAGCTATGTAAAAAAACATTTGGCCTCGTTCTAGCTGAAATCATTTAAAAAACATTATGTGGGGAAAGGCTGAGCTGCCTCCCTCCGGCTCTGAGGTTTCACATAGACCCTTGGAAGGGGCTCCTGCCAAGGTTTATTGCCTTGGGGGCCTATGAGGACCCTCGAGGGGCCGATTCTGGCTACTGGGGTCTTTGGATTCGTGTTTTGGGGAAAACCGCGGCGGTGAGGGGTGAGAAGTCAGCTTT